GCTGGAGAGAAGGGCCTCCCATTGTCCCTCGGTGGGGGGTGAGCAAAGGAGGTCGGCGGGCGGGGGATCCTCCGGGCAGCCCCAGAGGATGTGGTTCAACGAGGCAACGTTGCCGCACAGGCAGCAGCGTGGATCGATGGCACCTGGGTGCATGTATGAAAACACGAGGGGGCACGGGAAGGTGCGGGTCTGTAGGCGACGCCAGGCGATCTCGGACCGCTTGGGAAGGCTGCTGTGAGGATGTGAATAGAAATATCGCTCGAGGCGATAGTGCTGAGTGATGTCGTGGTAGGTGACCAGGGGCTCCGGCACCAGGGCGTCCGACTCTGAGTGGCCCACCGCTCGGTCGACGAATCCTCGAGCGCGTTGGTGAGCTGTCTCGTTGCCGGGGTGACCCGAGTGGGCGGGGACCCAGATCAGTTCTATGCGGCACTGCTCATCTTGCTGCAGTAGGGGCCGAAGTAGCCGTAAGGTGGTAGGCGAGACGAGACCTCGCGCGAAATTCGAGATGGCTTGTTTCGAGTCGCTGATTATGACGCTTGCGTCAGCCGAGGTCGCGGCCAAAGCAATGGCCACTTCCTCCTGATGTGAAGACGCTTCTCGACGCCTAGTGTTCTTGACATCTGCACATATGTAAATAAATGTGTGTGTTCTTCGTGTGAGCAGAAAGCCTCCCGAGAGTTCTTCCTTCGCCGGCACCTGGGTGACTGCCTGTAGCCCCACTCCTCGGTCTCATCAACTGGTTGGCAGTGGTGGGATTCGGTTGGATCCGGTCGTGTTCTTTCCTGGTACCGATACTGGTGAGGGCTCACTTTCCGTAGAGGTTCTGTCAGCAGTTTTGGATAGATGGTGATGTCTATTGAAAAGGGTAGATTGGTTGCTGTTTCGTGAATGAAGGCAGTGCTTATTAGAGGTACCTTCACGGAAGTTAGAGCCACGGAAGTCTAGACGGGGCGACCATGGATTTGAACACGTTAAAAAACCGGATTCTGTGCTTTTGTGTGAGGATCTGGGTGTTAAGGGCTAGGGTACACAGGAAACCGCATTTAACACAGGCAATTAAGGATTCCGGCATAGATGAGGAGAGGCTTTGCGATGGTTGGGAGCTCATACAGGTCGGGTGTAAAGAAGCCTATAGAACTAGAGCGGCTTGCGCTTGAGGGAGAGACCGCGAGGCGTCAAGAGGAAGCTGCAGCTCATGAAAGAGAAATAGAGCGATTGAGGCTTGAGCTTCGTATTGTGTTGGCGAAACGTGCCGGTGGTCAGGCCGCAGTAAATGAAGAGATTCAAGATAGACCAGGAACGATAAACTTGGAACGCGCGGTTGAGCTAGGTGGTGAGTGCGGCGTCCATTGCCAGTCGGAGATGACAAGTGTCCTAAGCATGACAGAATGTCAAGGTGACTCGGTCGTAATCGAAGGTTTTTCTCGGCTTGGGGCAGATGTGGTACCTCTGACTGAGCAGGAAGAGTGTGCCGACGCACTCGTCAAGCCAGAAAGACCGCCGGAGGTGCTATCGTCAGTAGATAGCGACATGGACAGGCAAGATTGCCGTTATGGAACATTGAATTCTGAGGAATACAACACGCGTCTTTGGTGATGGTACATCAGACTTACAAGTACTTTACACTGATGCAGCACGCTACCCAGAGAAGTCAGCCATGTGTTTAGCCGTGACAGATGACACAGACGCCCTTGTGGCGTCTGCCACACTTCGCACTACAGACAGTGGTCTGGCAGAGGAGGGAGCTCTCGCTCTGGCAATTGTTCACGCTACGACACTGTCACATGACTCCCCTGTCACTATTGTAACAGATTCACAAGCTGCTTGCCGTGCTTTCGCTCAAGGACTTGTGGCTGCACATACACACAATATCCTCTCTTCTCTCTCACCGTCCGCATTACGTCCTGTGCGTATCGTCTGGACTCCTGGACACGCCTGTCTCCATGGTAATGAACGCGTTCATGCGGTTGCCCGAGAGCTGACCGGCCGGGCTCCATTGGAAGAGCTGTCCAATCCAGACGACGCATCGACAGAACCACTAAACTACAACGCTACGCTGCAGTACTATCGACAGAGCCGTTATACGTATCCTCCCCCTCATCCTTCACTTAACAGAGCAGATGCTGTCACTTGGCGGCAACTACAGACCAATTCATTTCCTTGCCTTTATATGCTAAGTCGCTTTCATCCGACTCTCTACCCCTCCTACTGCCCCTTCTGTGGATCCGTACCGACGGTGTACCACTCCACATGGGAATGCTCTGCCCCACAGGGCGTGCCTCCCATTCCCAATCCCACCCCTTCCTCTTGGGAGTCTGCACTGCTCAGCTTACGCCGGCAGGAACAGCAACAGCTGGTCGAGCGGGCTCGCAGGGTCGCGCAAGGCAATGGAGCCCTGGACTGAGGGCCCCACCCAAAGAAGGCTCAGTGTGCATTTTTTATTAATAAACGTTTATTCTCTCTCTCTCTCTCTCTCTCTCTGAGGAATACAGCGATAAAGACACAGAAAGTGACGCAGGAGGTGATAAACTTCAAGTGCTCAGCTCGTTCAATGTGGATGAAACTGCTGCATTCTCGGTGTTGCTTCGGGCTAAAGAGGGCACATCCTCAAGAATATTTAGTTCTTCACATTGTGAGCCGAGAGAGTGCGCGTTATGGAGGTCGGGGTCGTTCGAACGCTCCCGTCTTTATGCGTCTGGAAACAAGGTCTTTTGGTGTGAACCCCGGCATTGCTGTATCCTGGAGGGAAATTCTTTGAAGCATTCGGGTGGTCTAACGCGGGTTTTGAGTCATGTGTTTCAAATAACTTGTTTCAAGACGGCCTTTTGTCCAGCGTCTGTTGAGCTTGTGAAAGGTTTTGGTTCGCGTGGTTTGGGACACTATCACTTAAGCGTTAACTGGTCACCACCACAATGTAGGCTTCCGTGTGCAAAAAGTTAAGCAGGGTGACCACAAATATCTTCACACCTGGTGATACTCGGGAAAATGAGGGCCCTTCAGCGTCGAAGTTGAGTTTGAGTGAAACGCTTTCTGCTTAAGCCATGTAAAGTGTACCTATGCCTAATGGCCCCACAGCTGAGCAGAGAGGGTACGATGACCTAGATTATGTACAGCGACCTTTGGGTTGGGTTTCATGCCATGGTCAAGCAGGGAACAGCCAGGCGCAGTTGCCGTACCGGGCAGCTGTGGAGCTGCATGTTGGCACCCAGCGGGCGTGGGTGTGAGGTAAGGTTCCTAGATGAAACAAGTTTCCTCTAGGGACCTTAGGTGTGAGGTGGACTGTGGCGACACCGAAATTCGCTTGTTGTGTGACGTGTTTTCTGAATTGTAATACGAAGGTGTGCTGTGCGTATATGGGTTGTGGTTGACAATCAGCGGGACACCCGAGAAGACGGACAACGGCCACTTATGGGAGCAGCACCACTGCAGCCCTTACGTGACCTCTTTCGGCGGCAGACGGACTGTTATGATAGGCAGAGCGAGGACAAGACTTCTAAGGGACGCTCATCGGCGTACCACTCAAACGCTGTCCGCGTTCTTCAGCAACGCAAGAGGTGTCTGTGTGCGCTGCAAGAGACGCGCATGAGCGCCGCTGGTACACACAGCCCGCGTTTGAGGAAATGAGCGGGCACGGACGAAGAGTATAAAAAGCGCATCACAGGTTGGCTGGGGGCTCCTCTCTCGATGACCTTTGTTACGGCCGGTTGAGCCTGATGTAAAGGCGCTTCTCGACGCCTAGTGTTCTTGACACCTGTACATATGTAAATAATTCGTGTGTTCTTCGTGGGAACAGGAAGCCTCACAAGAGTTATTCCTTCCCCAGCGCCTGGGTTACTGCCTGTAGCTCCGCTCCACAGTCGCATCACGGGCAGTATGTCACCGACTGCACGAGGTGTCGGCGTCACAAGCACCCCCTACAAGTTCCCGCCGGTCAACTCCAGCCTTACTATCCTCAAACAAATGTACTTACCGAGCGTGTGACCCAGACGCTTACGAGCATGATTTCAATGTACGTACGTTATAAGAACTGGGTCGAGATTTTACCATTTATAACATACGCTTTGCGCACGGCAAGACATGAAACGACATGCTATGGTCCATTCTTTCTTTCCTACGCACGTCCACTTCACTATACTTTGGATACTATCCTTCCTTTGACGACCGCTGACAACATATATCAGTAGCTGAGAGTCTTTGCCGGCCGAATGAATCTCGTCAACCAGTGCGGCTATGCATGCTGGCTTTTCAGACTACGTCAAAGGCTTGATACGACAGTAAGCATCATCCTGTCAGCTATGTTCCTGGGGATTTCGTGTAGTTGTAGACGCCAGTACGGAAGTGTGGCCTACGCACAAAGTTCTTAGCATGTTATGATGGCCTGTATGTCATCATGGACCAGTTTGAGTGAGGTCAACTTTACGATCGTGCGCCTCACACCCAGCGGCCGACGTTCTGCAAAAACTGAAGTCACACTCGTCACCCGGTTAAAGCCATGCCCACAACGAGAAAACGCCCGACCCACCCGACCGGCTTCGTCTGTGCGAGAAGCGTAACGGTGCCTCTGCAGTGAGAAAGAGAAGCTGTCGGAGAATGACGGATGAGGACTTTGTTATCTTCTGTAGCGTCACCCCAGCCAGTGCTCCGTCCCCGTCTTGCTAGAAAGCGCAGCCACTATTACAAAGAACACACAACACAAGCGCTTAACTTCAACTAAACGTTTATTGCAAACGTCAGATCCTAGCAAGATGGATCCTTACCAACTGGCCCGATACAATTGTTTATTGAGCTCCGTCCCCGAGCGTTCTCAACAAACGCTTCCCGACACGCAACAATATGCTATTCAATGGTACAGATAAAAAATGCCCTTGAGCTATGGACATATCACTGATTGTAATTCGGCTATATCATACGATATGTTCCAAATGGCCTCTTAAACTGATACGAAAGTATTTCAAAACAGTACTTCACAGTTGTGATTTGTGTCAGTGTGCCGCTGCTCTCCGGGTCGACATGATGCTCCGTCGTTTCCCGGACTTTCACATTCTCGTAAGTAATCTCTTGAGCATGCGCGTAAAAGTATTGCCTAGATTTGCTCTCAATGCCATGGTGTCACAGCAGCTCGCCATCCGAAGGAAAGAACATCGTGGACATAAGTCAGGCGTAAAACCAGAACACAAAAGAAGAGAAACAGGCCCCCTCTCTCTTCTTTTCAACAAAACTGATGGAAACCCTGCTGACAGATACCTAGGTCACCATGAGGCTCACCCTGATCTCTTTTAAGGTTTCAAAGCCCGAGACTAGTCGTCACATAAATGCAGGTTTAAAACCATGCATCAGTATACAGCCTTGTGAGGATATGTAGCTGTTTCTATTGCGTTCAGGGCGAGCAGATTGTTTGAAAACGTACGAAGACCTGGCGACGCGTAAGGGGTGGGGGGGCGTACTTTACATGTTTAATAGGATCTATAGGATCTAGCGCATCAGATGCGACACCTCCACAGCCACGTTTCTTTAGTCATATCAACGATACAGTGATTAAACCTGTTAATGTACCTACTGGCTTGCTCCGTTTATAGAAATCAGAAAAGTAGAGAAACACACTTCCTTCGCCAACACTTGAAGTATTGCGAGGTATGCTACTTTTTGGACATTAGACGATCAATTTCCGTTTAGTACGAAGAGGTACCGCAAGAGAAACGGGGCAGCTCTGAATGTAGTAAGCAAAATAAGTAAGACAAAACAGACTTTATAACGACCTCGAACCATACGTAGCTCATTTGGGCCAGTGAAGAGGTACTTTAACCCTTTAGAACAGCGTAGTTTACATATTCAAATGCTTCCTTACTTTGCGGAATTTTTCTTTCAGGCTGCTCTGTTGGAATGCAACTGGTCAGGGGTGACGGCTTGCTTGGCGGCCATCTGTGTTGTGTTAGTGGGATTGCGACACTTCCTAGCGACAACCACAAAGCAAGAAAAGAAACTGCCACCGGGCCCAAGAGGGACTCCCAATACTCGGCTCCTTGCCTTTCATACGGAAGCCATATCACGTAGCATTCAAGGAACTGAGTGAATCGTATGGACCGATTATAAGGTACGTGTATTAGGTACAATGCCAGAAGGTAAAATAAGAAATTTTCATCTATGGTTCAAAGTTATGTTGCACACTGAACCGACGCGAGCAGCCGAGAATACATCTGCAGGGTTAACGCATTCAGCTGGGCTTCAGACTTGGGTCTGATAGACGGCCATGCTATAGATGGCTGATATCCATGGTTTTACATATACGCCACGCTACATGAAAAAAAAAAGAAACTGTGACAGCATTCGACATCTCTTTAAACTAAAGTACTGCTCATTTAAAACCAGAAAGGTAAAAAAGAGGCATGGTGGCATCGAGAAATCGAACGTTGAATTGTTAGAGGCAACCTCCGTGTCCCCATCTTTGTTGTCTGCCCCACTTATCATCGAAAGGAGCGAGAGCGGCAAAGTTCACCAGATACCCGCTCGCTTCGCCACCTAAAGTGGTCAAAAAACCATGCAGCGAGCCCGACGTGTACGAAACCGAACGGATACTTGTTTTTCTGTCACGCCAGAGTGTGGCAGAAGAAACTATCGAGGACAAAGCTGGATTGTAACCTAGGCTCTCCGCGTGGCATGTCGAGTATTCAACCACAAAGTGACTTCGTTGCTTGAAATTACTGTGCAAAAAGGACCTATGAAGGCATCCCATAGGGTAGCTATAATCACGTTAATGAATGTATTAAGGCATGCTAGAAGAATAAAATAAGAATGAGGCCTCACATATAGCTGATTCCGTAAGGAGTTGCTTTTAACTCTTGACATAAAGCTCAGTCATAATTCTTCATCGACATAAGCCACAGTCTCAAGTCGGTGCGCTTAATGTCTGACAGATGTGTGGCGGCATACCTGGCTTTTTAGCAGAATGACGAATAGCGGCATAGTGTCAATTTTTCTACTTCAAAAAACAACGATGATTCATGGCGTAGTGAGTATCTTGCAGTGATTCCTGTGAGTGATTAAGTGAGCGAGTGAATGAGTGAGTGAATGAGTAGAGAGCGAATACAGCTTTATTAGATTTCAGTGGCAACGTGGAAATTGCCCCGTGCCACCGGGCTATACCCCGTGAAAATCGTTAGGCTCAAAAGAGTTTACAACGCGCTTTAGAAAAGCCACTCCTCAAGTTTAAGCTCTGACTAGGCTGCGTGTTTCGCACAGTCTGGGCCTTTTTTTTTCTTATTTATACGTGTTTGTGGTTTCTTTTTTTTAGTGTGACGATATTATCGCACCACCCATTGCATTGACAATGCAGGAACTTCATAACCAGCGCAAATCGAGATCGCTTGTGGCGCGTAGTGGATATAGCAGGTGGTTACTCTAGCTTGTTTCAAATGACCGATCACGAAACGCCTACGTATATCTGCGCAACGAAATGGATGTACAGTTCCTGAAAGTTTGACTAAATCTCAGTCGAAATGAAGCAGTGGCCCTGTGTCGGACAGAGTGGCCCGCAGAAATCCGTGTTCGCTAAAAAAAAAGGAGAAAAAGGTAAGTACGCCAAGGAACGTCCACCACCACATTCCCGTACCAAACAAACAGAATAAACATAATGAAAGCGAGCAAAAACCGAAGTTAGAGACAGCAAAATATATGAATACGGATTTATGTACCAGGGAAGGCATGAATACGATTGAGGCTTCGTTGCTGCGACCCAGCATGGTAAAAAAAAAAAAGGTTCCTTCGTACTTCTCAAGCTGATTTGCTATCAAGAGTTATTATATGCGAATAATTGTGGCTCTGTTGACAGTGTGGTTATGTGACCAACCACAACAACAACAACAACAAAAAAAACATTCGCAGGCTTCGGCTTGGATGTAGGGAAGTCGTGGTTCTGAATGACCTCGAATCCATCAGAACGGGACTTTCAAATGCGGACGTGCTTTATCGGCCCAAGGATTTCCTCCTGAGTTACCTCGGAGTCAAAGGTGAGAAATGGTATATCACTGGCCTCCTAACTATATCGCCTTTGTGCGACCACAACTGCTGCTTATCATCTGGCGAATTGTACTTGGCACTTTCAACAAAGCGCTGGATTTTCGCTGATTTTTGTTACAACAGGCATTGCATCACTAAACGGAGAACCATGGCAAGTGAATCGGAGGTACTGCTTCCACGTTTTAAGAAACCTGGGATTCGCAAAGAAGTCTATGGAGGAACACATTCAAGTAACCAAATATTTCTTTTTGAAGACGGAAGTCTTTCTTGGGGACCTTTGTCGCAAAACTTTTGGTCTGTCTGTCCGTCCGTCCGTCCGTCCGTCCGTCTGTCTGTCTGTCTGTCTGTCTGTCTGTCTGTCTGTCTGTCTGTCTGTCTGTCTGTCTGTCCACCCTTAATGGTACATTAAACGGCACCAAACTGGCCAAACGATACTCCAAACTGCCGACCCCATCAGCAGCGTCCACCAATATTGCTCAAGATTCAGCGTTCATACTTGTGTGATGGTCAATTAAAAAGCAATTATTGTGCATATCTGAGGCACCATAATAACACGTCAATATTCTGCACCTGTGTCTCTCACTAGAAAAAGCATACATAAGTAATTATGAGGACCGTAGCGTTTATCACGTTGCGCTGACCAGGCAATGTTTGCACGAAAAGGCAAGTGTTTCCAACGCTTCACTAAGACGACACGATGGTGGCACCTACCCGTCACCTTGCGTTCTACGCCTTATCACCTCTGAGACAGGCGCGGGGCACAAGTGCTTTGTTTTCCAAGATAACTGCTAGATAGCGCTCATGTCTCACGTGTGACGTGACTTGATGCACTCGTTCGCCTCCGCTGCACGCTGGAGGCACTAACGCAGCGCTTCCAGAATACCATTCACCGACTTTGTTGCGCAGAACATCAAATAAACGTTTTGTTCACTCTCTACAGACGTAAGACTATCGTCTTTCGACAACATTTGCAGTATAACATGCAGATACGGGGCCAGTTTTCACCACTGTCAGAGTCCTGGTGCTTAGTTAACCTAAACATGGGAACCTATCATGGACTTAATGCGATATCAGAGTGACGTGGCACCCGGTAATGTCCGATTTATTGATGGCGGGATACAAAGCACAGTTTAGGCCTACCTTGTCATCGCTTCATATTATTGCAGTTGATATGTGTGGTATGAACTGAGAAACGTTTCATTTTGGTGCGATGAGACACAAGAAAGTGGCAAGACAAACAAGTACAGAGTAACAACTAGGTTCTTTCTATACGTCTAAAAGCAAGTTGTTAGTCTTCACTAGTTTGCTTCCTTTTTTCTTTCGTGTCTCGTCCAACCATGTAGTTTGACCAAAACAAGTTCTTCTCAACTTGCCTAACTTTCCACGCTGCAAGATAGCTTTCCTTGGGAATCAAAAACTACACGTGAGCGTTTCAGACAAAAAAAAAAAAACGCAAAGGGACTGCGTAACTGCTTTCTGTTGTCCCACGGTGACATGGACACTGGACTATCTTGTTGTCGCATATCTCCAGCCATAAAATTCTTCTAATTCTTCAAGTTTAAGCGAAATTATGAGGCAGCGTGATCATTTCCTTTTCCTTTCGCCCACAGTACGTGGACACTCCACAGTAAAATAAGAGGTGAAAGGTATGAAGTCTACAGCGGGCAAGCAGAGAAACACTCATAGGGCCCCATTACCGACAAAGACTTTTGGAAGTGGCACTTGCGATGTGGCCCTGAGACCTCAGAGATGGTCTGTCAGAGAGCCGAAATCAGACAATACCTGTCGGGCCCGCATTATGCGCAGTTACTGAGGACATATAACGTAGGAAAAGTGCAAGTCGCCTATGACTGTTACCTTTACATGTCACTGTAGACTACCTATATCATGCAGTGTGAGCCTCTCTAGGCTCAGGTGTTCACAGAAGCCTAGAATCTCGATTGTGAACGTTTCCTGCCAGTTATCATAAAATTCCGCATAATGTACGCCTTTATGCGAAAGCAGTTTAACCGAGACCACCCAAAGCCACGTTTCATAAGCTCTATGTACTTCATATTTAACTCATTAATACTGTTTTCCTCTACAGGAAGAGATACAATGCTTTCTCACTTTCGTCGCATCCGCCAAGGGACAACCCATGCTAATCTCGCAGAAGCTGGCTGCCAGTGTGGCCAACAACATATCTGCTCTGGTGTTCGGACAGCGATACGACCTCGATGATCCCAGATGCCAGCACATTGAAGAGCTGTTGAGCAAATTTCTCCGCAATGGAAGTGCTTTATCTTTATTTGACTTCATACCAATAGTTCGCTTAGTCAGCAACTGCATCCCAAACACGAAGATCTGCATTTTGAACGACGTGGTGAAAAACTTTGTACAAGCTATCAGGCAAGTGCTACGGCAAAAGCTGAAGAATAAAAATGTACTTAGCAATGAGTTCAACTGGGGCGTCTAACGTGCTGCGCAGGCATTAACATCCATTCCGATAATTAGTTCTTGTGAGTAACCAAAAACAGAACGAACCAATACGCTGCATGAAACGACCAAAGTTTACCATTACTACCAAAATACACCCCTAATCGTATAGTTCGGTACCCTACGAAGAAGGTTCGGTATGGGTAAAAAAATGCGGAAAATTTAGTGAACTTGAGGGAAGATGAGTTGCTTGGCTATATCTCCGCCGAAGGGTCTTCGAAACGCCTATCCAATGTAAAGAGGTATTGTGGACTGAATTTAACTGGATACCAAGTAGCAGACGAAAAAAGCTATATCTATAGAGTCAGCAAATGCCGATCCATCAACCGTGAAAAGTGCAAGATTTGCGAACACAAAGTTGAAACACCATTTCATTGGCCGAAATCTCATTGGTGTTTTTTTTTTTCATGCATATTTCGCAGGGCGGAAGTGAAGAAACGAGAAGATAACATGGAAAATTATCTTGATAGAGATTTCATCGACGGTTACCTGCGAAAGATAGAGGAAAACAAGGCTACTAATTCTCATTTTAATTGTAAGTACAGCTTATTACGGCATTGTTGTTGCCATTGCTGAGTGTGGGGAGGGAGGCATCGTATTCGAGATGATACGTGACGTAAAGTACACAGAGAACGTGAAGTACACTGAGTACTCTACATCGTCCACTTTCTCTCTTAAGCGAACCTCATGTGTTTACTCAAGTTAATTAGATTGCTTCGCATGTGACTTACGGGGTTTCTAGTACTACAAGAATGTGCGGTTTCTCGAACCAGTTATTATGAAACAAAACTAGTACACTACATTAAGTTTTATTTTATTTATCTTAATTTGCTGTTCCTATTCTCAGCAGACAATAATATAGCTGAGGGTTATTGCAAAAAGCCTACAAGGTTGTAGATGTGGTATTGTCAAAAGCTTACAGGTGGTACATTTGAAAAAAAAAAAACAAAACAAACAAACTAGCTACTACATATTCCTGGATAATTTGGCGCACTGACAAACGCACAGAAGGTTCAAATTTATTTAGTCGCAGGTGCGTATGTACAAGGACTTGTTGCGGAGCCGTCTGCCACTCACGTTATTGGGTAAAAAGTGTGCTACCCTATTCCGTCTTTCCTCATTTTTTTTTCATGTTCTAAGCTGCCTGCGCAACAACTATTTCGTTGGCAGATATATCCAAAAAAATCACCTATAGTTACTGCCTGCTAAAAAAAAAAAAAAAAAAAACCGCCAGGCCTAGGCCGGACGCGCAGCACTGCCAGGTTGAAAGCTGGCAGAGCGGCCTTTCAGAGCCTTTTTTAAACAATCTTTGGTAACTGCTACCACTTGCTTGGTACCCACTAAGCCATAAATAATCGCACTTTTTGTGTAGTAGGGCCAGCATTCGCTCTGCTGTCCTTCGTCATTCTTCGGAGAAGCGTGTCATCTGCTACACACACTTGCTAGGAATTATGTGCCCCCTTTTTATGCAGTGGTTGACGATAATGCGAAATTATGCCTGAAGAGGAAGAACAAGGTCTAAGCGTTGGACGACCCGCTCACTACGCAATTCGCATTGCGTAACGCCTGGCTTTTCTTTTGATGTACTGAAACGCTTTATTACTCATATAAACGCGATTCTTTTCCCGACATCAAGCCTGCCTAAGGCCAGTTTAGAAAGAAGTTCCAAGAACTGGCGTGGCTCAGGGGTGAAATACTCAATGGCACGCAGCAGACCGGTGTGCAAATCCCATTGTGTCCTTCACGTAATATATATATATATATATATATATATATATATATATATATATATATATATATATATATATTATATATATATATATATATATATATATATATATGACGCTTATGATGAATGGGCAACGGGGCCTGGCTCTGGTGTGAAGCTACGATGAATGGGCGACGTGGCCTGGCTCATACCCCATGTTTATTCCGTTCTCCACTTCTTCTTTCTCGGCTTCTACCAATCATCGCTTCATACGTCACACGATTCCCCCTCCCCCCGAAAGAAGGCATGGATTACGAACACGGAAAAGTACACAAGGAGAGGTTGAGAAGTCACAAATGTGAAAATGCACAATTGGTTTCATAGCCCTGTGGTGTTCCGTAAACTCGCAAAACTTCAGGAAAGAGTGCAGCAGTCCGGTTAACGCAGGAGTTCTGGTGGGCGAGGCTGATGGTTGCGTCCTGGATAACACAAGAATGCTTTGGACGTGGAGATAGCGGAAATCGCAGCCGGCATTCTTGTGAAGAACAAACGAGGTTCGAACACCTTGCAGAATGGACAGTTCAGATATCGTAGGCATCGAATTCTTCGTCGTGGCACAGGTCGTGCAGGCAGCTTGCGTGCGCGTTGATGGAGGTTGATTGGGCGCTGCCTGTGTTTCTGCCGAGTACAAGGGGTGCTTTTGTGGCTTTTGAAAATTTTTCTATGGCGATGTCGCAGATGGTTTGATGGAAGGCACATTCTTGATCTTTGGTGGAGAATGTATCCACCACGATGGGCCTTATCGCAATGTTCTTTGAGCCTTACGAGTGGTTTCGATGTAGTTTTCTTTCGTCGTTGACAATGTTGAAGTATACGTGGACGTTGTAGTTTCTTGGTTTCGTCGACTTGCTTGTGGTGTGACATTGATCGTGCTGTGTCAGGATTCTTAGCAAGTACTTCGCAGGCTTCTACGACGTGAACCAATGCAGATGTTTCCGGCATAAAACAATGTGCGGGGTTTCGTGCACTTGAATCTTCTGTATTCATAAATCGTTCATTGTTGGTGGTTGCCTGAAGATTACTTGTGTCATCAGAAGTCGCACCTCTGCTTTTGTTTTCATTGTTGGCAGTGAGGTTGTATACTGGATTCACGTCACTTCGATCTTTTAAGTGATTAACACTAGACGCTTCTGCAGAAGACTTTCCTTCACAAGATGCTGATTGTGAATGCTTCTGTCTTTGTGGCACTGCTGAGCTGAATGCCAAGTCAGTTTGCAAAGTACGCACGCGGCATGAAGTATTGAATGCATCTCGGTCATTAATAGCGGATTCAATTCTTTTATGCCGCGGTGAGTTGAGCATTTGTGATATATCCGCGGATGAGGAACCAGGTGGAAGGTGGGGAACACGACCACGTGGTATTTCTGCAAGCATGTGGCTAGCTTCACCTGACGGGAATTGTAAATTCATGCTCTGTACTCGAGTGCGTGAAGGCTGCTTACGACTGCGATGACTGAGTTTGAATGCACTGAAAGTGCGTGTGCTAATCGAATCTTCATTATAGTCTTGAAACCAGACGATCATTCCTTCTTTTATCTTTTGCCAAGATTCGTCGTTGTCGAATATGTGGGTGAGGTAAAACTTAAATGCCTCACCGGTGACATAGTCGCTGAAGTTCGTAACCATTTCCCGTTCCGACCAAGATGCAGCGGTAGCGTGGAACTCGAACAGGTCGAACCAGTCCTGTACAGGTCCATCGTCCGCTGCTCCGGTGTACTTGGGGATGGGAAGGTCGGTCGATGATTCTGTCATGGTGCTGGTCGCTGTGTGCGGCTAGGAGATGATTCCGAGGTCGATGTATGGTCAGGGCGTCTTGTGTAGAACTGCGTCGATGATGAGACACTGATGAAGTGGCTGGGAGGTCTTCATCCTGTCGACTTGTGTGACGCTTATGATGAATGGGCGACGGGGCCTGGCTCTGGTGTGAAGCTACGATGAATGGGCGACGTGGCCTGGCTCATACCCCATGTTTATTCCGTTCTCCACTTCTTCTTTCTCGGCTTCTACCAATCATCGCTTCATACGTCACATATATATATATATACATATATATATATATATATATATATATATATATATATATATATATATATATAATGAGATCTAACAGGGAGTAATGCCAAGGAATGTATAGGAGAAGTTTATTAGAACAAATGGAATTTAAATAAGAAAGAAAAGTGGGTGAAAAAATAACCAGCCACAAGCAGGAATCGAACATACGACCTTCGAATAACGCGTTCGATGCTATAACCACTGAGCTATCACAGCGGCCTTCTCTACATCCACTTTTCTGGGTTTATATGTAAATTTAGAAGTAGGAGTGACAGTCAGCGCCATCTATAAGCCACGCGGCGAGTGTGAAACACCCTTTTATGCGCATGTGTGGCGTCGCGTAGCACGTGAACTTATTACGAGCGGGCAGCTGCCCAATAGTCCCTCGTATACAATCTAACGGCACCAAGGCTGCCAGTACGAGACCCTTGTTAATAAATAAGGGAAAGAAGTGTATACATAAGGGCTCGTTTTTTTTTCACCCACTTTTCTTTCATTATGTGAAATTCCATTTGTTCTAATAACTTCCCTTATACATTCCTTGGCATTACTGTCTGTCAGATCTCATTATATAGTGTCAAAACACGGAAAAACGAGCCCTTAGGTATAAACTTCTTTCTCTTATTCATTAACGAGGGTCTCGTACTGGCAGACTTGGTGCGTTTAGGTTGTATACGAGGGACTATTGGTCAGCTGCCCACTTGTAATAAGTTCACGTGCTACGTGACGCCAAATAGGCTCAAAAGAGTGTGCTACACTCACCAGCCATGGCTACTGGTGGCGCTGACTGACACTCCCACGTTCAATTTACATATAAACCCAATAAAGTGGCTGGGGGGATGGCTGTCGTGGTAGCTCAATGGTAGAGCATCGAACGCGTCATTCGAAGGTCGCAGGTTTGGATCCTGCCCACGGCAAGTTATCTTTTCACCCACTTTTCTTCATATTTACAATGCAATTCGGACTAAGATCTTCCCCTATACTTTCCTTGGCATTATTTTCTGTTACATCTCATTAGTATTGTGTAAAACACACAAAAACGAACCCGTAAGTATACACTTCTTTCATATATATATATATATATATATATATATATATATGTTGCGTAGACAGAAAAACCGCTGGTCATTAGGGGTAACTGGATTCCCAGAGAAGGCAAGCGGGTTAGGGGGAGACAGAAGGGTAGGTGGGCAGATGAGATTAAGAAGTTTGCGGGTATAAATTGGCAGCAGCAAGCACAGGACCGGGTTTCTGTTGGCTTGCTGCTTCTTTATTCTTGCAATATAACGAAGTGATTGGTTGATTGATATGTGGGGTTTAACTTCCCAAAAACCACCATATGATTATAAGGAACGCCGTAGTGGAGGGCTCCAGAAATTTCTGCCCCCTGGTGTTCATTAACGTGCACTCAAATCTGAACCTACGGGCCTACACCATTTTCGCCTGTATTCTTGCCATACATTGATTGCCCTCTCTAGGTGTCCACTGTAAAACGGCAGCTGATGTAGTGGCTTTGACTCCATCACCTCCAGTGTATTTTTCGTCTCTCACTACCACCATTTACACACTTGTTTGTTCTATTCTCATTTGTTTTTACGGAAAGGAGGATTTCCTGCTCTCTGGGCTGTTGCACGAGAGTACGAGAACAACCGTCACCGCCTCGGCAGTGCATTTCTTGGAAGGTCACGCGCGCTAATGACAGCCCATTATAGCGGCACCCAGAACGCCTTGAGTAAAAAGGTCTATAGTTAATATAGAGCTAATGCTTCGCGTACATTGCAGTGAACCATTTGGAAGGAAATGCAATCAACCTGTACGGTGCAGCCACCAACACGGTGCGGACGACCATTCTGTGGACCTTGTACATAGCCGCTAGTGACCCGGATGGTATGCAGGCTCGAGTGCAGCGAGAGATAGATGCCGTGATCGGCCGCAACAAGCCAATTGAATGGGAAGACAGGCGTCGCCTACCTTACACTATGGCGGCTGTCCTGGAGACGCTACGGTGGAGGACAACGGCACCTATCGGCGTACACAGGATGTGAGTGATCTTTTTCCCGATGGAAGATGCATTGCGCCCGTTCGCTTTTGTGTGTTAAGTGATTTCTGGATGGATATGTATGGTTTAAGTTCCCAAAGCCACCATATGATTATGAGAGGCGCTGTAGTGGAGGGCTCCGGAAATTTTGACCACCCGGGGTTCTTTCTTGCTAGGAAGCGCAGCCACTACGAGACCCTTGTTAATAAATAAGGGAAAGAAGTGTATACATAAGGGCTCGTTTTTTTTTTCACCCACTTTTCTTTCTTATGTAAATTCCATTTGTTCTAATAACTTCCCTTATACATTCCTTGGCATTACTGTCTGTCAGATCTCATTATATAGTGTCAAAACACGGAAAAACGATCCCTTAGGTATAAACTTCTTTCTCTTATTCATTAACGAGGGTCTCGTACTGGCAGACTTGGTGCGTTTAGGTTGTATACGAGGGACTATTGGTCAGCTGCCCACTTGTAATAAGTTCACGTGCTACGTGACGCCAAATAGGCTCTAAAGAGTGTGCTACACTCACCGCCATGGCTACTGGTGGCGCTGACTGACACTCCGACTTTTAATTTACATATAAACCCAATAAAGTGGCTGGGGGGATGGCTGTCGTGGTAGCTCAATGGTAGAGCATCGAACGCGTCATTCGAAGGTCGCAGGTTTGGATCCTGCCCACGGCAAGTTATCTTTTCACCCACTTTTCTTCATATTTACAATACAATTCGGACTAATATCTTCCCCTATACTTTCCTTGGCATTATTTTCTGTTACATCTCATTAGTATTGTGTAAAACACAGAAAAACGAGCCCGTAAGTATACACTTCTTTCATATATATATATATATATATATATATATATATATGTTGCGTAGACAGAAAAACCGCTGGTCATTAGGGGTAACTAACTGGATTTCCAGAGAAGGCAAGCGGGTTAAGGGGAGACAGCAGAAGGTTAGGTGGGCAGATGAGATTAAGAAGTTAGCGGGTATAAATGATGATTGATTCGTCGGGTTTAACGTCCCAAAACCACCATATGATTATGAGAGACGCCGTAGTGGAGGGCTCCGGAAATTTTGACCACCTGGGGTTCTTTAACGTGCACCCAAATCTGAGTACACGGGCCTACAACATTTCCGCCTCCATCGGAAATGCAGCCGCCACAGCCGGGATTCGAACCCGCGACCTGCGAGTCAGCAGCCGAGTACCTTAGCCACTAGACCACCATGGCGGGGCTTAGCGGGTATAAATTGGCAGCAGCAAGCACAGGACCGGGTTTCTGTTGGCTTGCTGCTTCTTTATTCTTGCAATATAACGAAGTGATTGGTTGATTGATATGTGGGGTTTAACTTCCCAAAACCACCATATGATTATAAAGAACGCCGTAGTGCAGGACTCCAGAAATTTCTGCCCCCTGGTGTTCATTAACGTGCACTCAAATCTGAACCTACGGGCCTACACCATTTTCGCCTGTATTCTTGCCATACATTGCCCTCCCTAGGCGTCTACTGTAAAACGGCAGCTGATGTGTTGACTTTGACTCCATCTCCTCCAGTGTATTTTTCGTCTCTCACTACCACTAATTACACACTAGTTTGTTCTATTCCTATTTTTTTTACGGAAAGGAGGGTTTCCTTCTCTCTGGGCTGTTGCACGAGAGTACGAAAACAACCGTCACAGCCTCGGCAGTGCATTTTTTGGAAGGTCACACGCGCTAATAACAGCCCATCATAGCGGCACCCAGAACGCCTTGAGTAAAAAGGTCTATAGTCTAATATAGAGCTAATGGTCTAATATAGAGCTATAGTCTAATATAGAGCTAATGCTTCACGTGCATTGCAGTGAACCATTTGGAAGGAAATGCAATCAACCTGTACGGTGCAGCCACCAACACGGTGCGGACTACCATTTTGTGGACATTGTACATAGCCGCTAGTGACCCGGATGGTATGCAGGCTCGAGTTCAGCGAGAGATTGATGCCGTGATCGGCCGCAACAAGCCAATTGAATGGGAGGACAGGCGTCGCCTACCTTACACTATGGCGGCTGTCCTGGAGACGCTACGGTGGAGGACAACGGCGCCCATGGGCGTACACAGGATGTGAGTGATCTTTTTCCCGATGGCAGATGCATCGCGCCCGTTCCCTGTTGTGTGTTAACTGATTTCTGGATGGATATGTATGGTTTAACTTCCCAAAACCACCATATGATTATAAGAGGCGCTGTAGTGGAGGGCTCCGGAAATTTCGACCACCTGGTGTTCTTTCTTGGTAGGAAGCGCAGCCACTATTACACAGGACACACAACACACGCGTAATGTGGCTGCGCTTCCTACCAAGATGGATTGATACCAAGTGGCCTGATAAAATTGTTTATTGGGTTTATTCAACGCGCACCGAAATCTAAGCAAACGGGCCAACGTAATTTTTTACTTCATCGAAAGTGCAACCACCGCAGCCGAATATCTTAGACCATTGCGGCGGGGCGTTCAGCGATGTGTGATACCATGAAGTAGTAAGGTAACTTGATAGTAACTTTCTTAGTGTTATATGTGATCTAACCGAAAATAATGCCAAGAAAAGTATAGGGAATGCTACTAGACTGAATTGTAATGTAAATATAAAGAAAAGTGGGTCAGAAGATAACTTGCCGTTAATAATAATAATAATAATAATAATAATAATAATAATAATAATAATAATAATAATAATAATAATAATAATAATAATAATAATAATAATAATAATAATGATAATAATAATGCAATTGCTGGTATTTTCTACGCCGAAGCCATGATATAATAACAAGGCACGCCGTAGAGGGGGACTCCGTATGAAGTTCTACCACTTTGGCCTATTCGCTGTCCTACTATATCTAAGCACACTGTTGGTCTACGCATTTGGCCACCACCAAAATAAGGCCACCGTAATTGAAAAGCACCAACGAGTTTAGCCGTGTGACGCATTACACGCTAAGCTTCCGCTGCGTGTCTCCCATATTTTTTAAAGTATAAGCCATACCGCACACTGCAATCAATTGAGTTGACTTCACATCGTACATAGCTACCGAAACAAGCGTAAACCGTATTCAGCAGCTGCTGCACATTGAAAATGCTTACTGACTTAACATGGCCAGGTTGTGTTTCTGATTGATTGATTGATATGTGGGGTTTAACGTCCCAAAATCACCATATGACTATAAGAGACGCCGTAGTGGAGGGCTCCGGAAATTTCGAACACCTGGGGTTTTTAACATAAACCCACAATCTGAGCACACGGGCCTACAGCATTTTCGCCTCCATCGAAAATGCAGCCGCTGCCACTGGGATTCGATACGGCAACCTGCGGGTAAGCAGCTGAGTACCTTAGCCATTAGACCAACACGGTGGGGAATGTTGTGTTTCTGTTCGGGATATTATACATTCACCTCTCAATACCGAATAATTAAAATTATTATTAGGCATTTTTATGTTTCTAGTTTGGAGCAACTATCACGTCCTTTTATGCGGTATACGAAATATAACTCTTGTATATTTGCCTTGAAGTCTGGAATCTTGCTGATGAAGTACTCCTATCCTGAGATAGGTGTGTTAAACTCCGGGTAAACAAAAAAAAAATAATGCCATTTATTTTTTAATATAGCAATTCAATGTTCCTCATTAAAAGCTCTAGAAAGCAGCATATTTAGTTTTGTTTGCTTTAGCATATTTTATTTAGTTTCTCAACGGTGGCTTATAGACATTTGAGAGCCTGAACGTATATGAGGTGTGAATAATTTTTTGGTATTTTACTTCACCCTCTAAATTGCCAGAGTCTTGTTTTATGCCTATTTTTTATTGCCTTGCAGTGCCATGAGTGACACCGAAATTTGTGGATACCACGTGCCTGCCGGAACCTTTGTGATAGCCAACCTGTGGTGCTTGCACAATGACCCCACTTACTGGTGCAACCCACTTCAGTACGACCCGACACGATTTCTCAACTCTGACGGCACGGAGCTAGCTGAGAAGCCGCTGGCTTTCCTACCTTTCAGTGTAGGTAGGTACAAAATGTAGTTTTCGCCAGCGTTGCCGCAGTCGTCAATCATTTTCATGTAGGGAATGATACCCGCAAATACACTCGCACCAGCGGAAACGTTGTAGGCCCGTGTGCTCAGATTTAGGTGCACGTTAAAGAACCCCAGGTGGTCGAAATTTCCGGAGCCCTCCACTACGGCGTCTCTCATAATCATATGTTGGTTTTGGGACGTTAAACCCTACATATCAATCATCAACACTCGCACCATTCGAAGTAAAACGTTTTTGTTTGGAGTGAAGTCATACAGAAACAACAGTCGCATTCTTCGACATCTTATTTTACCCATAAGCTTACAATAAAGAAAAACTAAACAAAGGGTAAAGTTTTATGCAGCCAAGCCTAGCGTATTTTACTACCACCTTAGCGACTTTCCCAGAGGCATTTTGAGCTATATTTTAACTTCATCACATATTTTTTTGAATAAACGGAGTTCGTAGAGCAGCGTTTGGCACAAAAAGCAGGAATCTACAACTTGAACAAAATAGCCCGAAGGCAAATACATTATTACCTTGTAAATGAAAGCACTTTTAATCATTGGCTAATATTACGGTCGTCTGCTAGGCTACGGAGAAAAGGCTACCGGAAGCTACAGCTGCCTATATCGTTGAAGCATTGGCTTAATGGTTCGTTATGCACACGTGTTCTTGTATATACATTTCTCCTGTGTAATAAAAAAACGCTGCTGGCAACAGGAGTGGGCTACTATTCCGCAGCAATTTTTGTACGTTTACGCAACCGTAATATGTAACCTATCTGGCTTACAGGTAGACGTGCATGCCCCGGTGAGACGCTAGGTCTGATGGAAGTGTTCCTGTACGTAGCGACGTTGCTTCAGCACTTTCGGGTGCTTCCAGAAGATGTCGCTGTGATTTCCCTCGAAGCCAACAATGCTGCCATTTCTGTGGCCAATGACACGCAGAAACTGCGCTTTGTACGACGATGAGTGAATATACTCTCGCCAACAAGCTAAATTGTGTGTGTTTGTGTGTTTGCGTCTGTGTCAGAGAACGCGTCCCTTTTAAATTAATATAAAAAAGAACTTCGTTCAACATGGAAATGGTAAAATGCTTGGTATCACGCAACATAGGTATGTAACCTAACCATGAAATATCATCTTCCTACCTAACTGGGATGTAAAAAGAGCGAAAAATTAAAAACAACGGCTGAAGAAGAGAGGACAGCGTGCTGAACTCGCAACCAAAATTTATTGAAATGCGCAGGCACATATGTCAAGCAACCCAACATTTCTAGAACTAGGTTCCTAGAACCTAGTTCTTGAAGCGTTGAAGCAACCGACCTAGTCACGTGGCACACCATGGCGTCTGCTCAAAAAAGCAAACAGGGTACAAAAAATACATAATCACGGTGAAAAGTGACACGTATGTAAACGCCTGAGAAGAAAAAAAGAAAAAAAAATGAGAATCGACGTTATGCGAAGCATGTGGAGGAAAATGGACCGTGTTGCAATATTTTTATTGAGCTACACTTCATTACATGACCCTAAATGTATGTATAAATGTTATAAAGAGTTGCAGATGTTTCAAAAGTAGTTCCGAAACTTGGCGCAGCTTTTTGGTAAAATGCTCCATTGTCACTCGGAATGCTTGGGTTTGATTCCAGCTGGGACCCTGACATTTATTTTTTGAATTCGTCGGGTAACGCTCGCCCGTTAAAATTGCCCATGTGTGTTCTCGCCGTTCCTGGGTAGATGCTAAGTGTCAATCACCTGAGGCACATACCCGCATAACCGTGGCACATACCTGCCCGTAGGTATGTGCCACTGTCTGGCGGGAAGTGTTTGACAACGTACGCCACGGGATTGTGACATTATTGTTGTATTGACCAGTGCATCATATTCGTCAAGCTACCTTACCTTCCCATGATAATGTTGGTTCTCGCCAAGTTATGGGGCTGACCCTGAGAGCACCCAAACGTAAACGGCTAGATAGACAGATATACGCTCAAATTTGCTGAAGTTCGCGAAGAAATGCTTCGCATTTAAAACAAGCCGTCAGTATGCAACCTGTGGAGCTGCATAATTACTCTACTTGCTGGCATGGCCCACTTCAGTACATAGTCCAAGCAGATTCCCAAATTCTGATCGAAGAGAGCACACTGAGAAGCCACTGGCTTTCGTAGGTAGGTACAAAGTGCTGTTTTGGTTCGCGGAGACTTTCTAAAGAGCTCGTGGATTTTTCGATGCATCTCACGAAACAAGTACCCCGACGTTCCCACTGAATTTTTATTTTTGCTTTTTTTTACTCTATGACATGAAAGTGTGCTAAGAATCTCACGCCACTTAGAGTAAAACTTCAGTGCAAAATGGAAACTACTAAGTACATTCTTATATAGAAACACTAGTGGCACCCTTTGAAGTATTCTCTCACAGATTCACGATAAAGAAACACCTAACAATGTTGAGGTTTTCACACAATCATGCCTGGCCTCATCTTTCACCCTCTTAGCTAACATTAACGGTGTTTTTACCACAGGGTTTGACATACAGAAGAATTATCTACTACTTGGGCAGAATTGTTCGCAGGGACAAACATTACTCGCAGAAAGCATCAAAATCTTTTTCGTTGTAATGTGACACACTTTATGTTACTAGGTGCTTAATTCATTTTTATTATTATGGTCGTTCGTGAGACTACGGTGGAATGTACGACTGCCGATGTCATTGACGTGCTTTACCTCGTGTTTATGCATAAACGTTTGTCTTGCGCAACGAGAAAACGCTGATGGATGCAGAAGTTGGCTTCTCTCACGTATGTACATTTAAGCAATCGATATAAGCACTTCCCATATGCACCTTTAAGCAATCGATATAACATCCCTTATATCTTCTAACAGGTAGACGTGTTCAAAGGAACACTGGCACTTATGGAGGTGCTTTTGTATGTAGACATGTTGCTTCAACACATCCAAGTGGTTCTAAAGTACGACACGGTTATCTGCCTTGAAGAAAAGAACGCCGCTATTTCTGTGGCCGATGACACGGAGAAACCACGCTCCGTACGACGACAAGTGAATACGCTCTCGCGAAGATTGTCGACTTTTTGTGTGCGTCTACAGAACTGGGCACCTCTCAATAAAACAGCGAGAATTCCTTTACTTGTTGAAATAACAATGTGAATAAAACAGCCCAACTGAGCAATCCCTATTACCTGAAGTGAACTATTATGAAACTATTTACTTTTCCGGATGCCAAAAAGAAAAAAAAACTCACTGAAGAGGTAATGAAAAAGACAAGGTTCAGTAGGTGCAAGCTGATGTGAGCTGAGAAGAACTTGAAAGGAATTGAAATTGCGGATGCTTCACCGTGCATATTTCATAAAATAGCAAATAAGAGCACAACGTGGGATGTTGCAACTGCAGACATACCTAGAACATATTGCCGCGCGCTTGAGCTGCCAGCGCAAAAGAGGCAGACGAAGTGGCAGTCCCCCCTCGTGCCATTGTTCTGTTTTTTGGCTGCGCTGAGCCGACCGCTCTTCGGACTTTTGTGAGGACGCCTTAAAAACGTCTCCTGTCTCTTTAACGTGACATTTTAATGGTGGAGGTGCGGGGTAACCTCCCCTATGCAACAGACTCCTTCTAGCAGCCGGAACGTGACCCAAAACCCAGAGCTTACGCCGGTACACCGTTTCAGTCGGAGGATTCGAGGACTGTCCCCCGAGTTTGTGCCTCACAGTACAAGTACGTCGACTGGTATGGAGAATACTGTTGCTGTCACCGCTTCCCCTACCGCTGGAGCCGCCGCTGCTCCAACCGCTGCACCCGCAGCTGCACCCACTCATTACACGCTACAAAAACCACGTGTTCCGAGTCCCTTTCGTGGTGGCCTCTATGAAGATGTGGAAGATTGGCTGGCTGAGTACGAGTACGTAGCGGATTTCAACGGGTGGGACGAAGTAGCGAAGCTCAAGAATGTGTACTTTAGTCTTCTGGATGGTGCTCGCACATGGTTCCAGAACCGCAAGGGCCTCCTAACGTCGTGGCATGAGTTCTGTCACAGGCTCCGCGAAACGTACTCGAGTCTCGATCGTCGAGAGCGCGCTGAAAGGGCCCTCCAGTCCCGCATGCAGATGCCTAATGAAGGTGTGGCTACATACGTGGAGGATATGGTTCATCTGTTCACTCGCGCCGATCCAACCATGCCGGAAGACAAGAAGCTGCGACACTTGATGCGAGGTGTGAAAGAGCAGCTCTTCGCTGGACTCATTCGTAGTCCGCCTAGAACGGTCGCGGAGTTCCTCACTGAAGCCGTCGCCATGGAAAAGGCGCTGCAGCAGCGGAACCAGTACGATCGGCAAGTGACTGCTACCTATACCACCGGGCTAGGCTCGTTCCCGACCGACGTGGGAGCGCTTCGCGAGCTGATACGTTCGGTCGTTCGCGACGAGCTACAACAGCTGCAACAGCTGAACCAGGCGCAGCAGCAGCCTTCCACGAATTGCATCGCCACCATCATACGTGACGAAGTTCAGCATGCGCTCGGCACACCTCGCCGCGAGACACCAACGCAGGTTGCTGCACCACTTCAGGCGTTCGCAACTTCAAGTGAACCTCTAGGGGTGACCTACGCAGACGTATTGAGACGCACCGTTCCGTCGTCCACGACACCATCCCCAGTGAGTGGTTTCCAGCGCACCACTTATACCGACACGTTCGAACACAACGCACCTGCACCAGTCCCACTACCAGCCGCAACCCCGTACGCCACACTGCAGTCCGCACAGGTGGTCCCTTATTTTGCAGACACTCGACCCGTCATGCGTAAATCCGACATATGGCGCATGCCCGACCGACGACCGCTTTGCTACCACTGCGGTGAAGCGGGTCACCTCTACCGAGACTGCCAGTACCGCCGACTTGGGCTGCAGGGTTTTCCTGCCAATTCACCCCGCCCCCGGTTTGGACAGAGACCACCAGAAATTGAAGATTTTATCGCTCGGCAGAACGTCCCACTCAGGCGTCAGTCGCGCTCACCGTCACCGCGGTCGTCATCTTATTCAGGCAACGGAAATCGAAGGCCGCAAGGACGGTCTCCGAGCCCTCGCCTGGAAAACTAACGCCAGCGACCTTTCGAGGCGAGGCCGCTGATTCTCGACGTGATGAAGACCTCGCCCTCCAATCGACGCGACATCGGACCAACGGAAATTCGACTACGCCGGCGCCTGTATCCCAGCTGAGCGACTTTTCAATGGACATACCTGTGCTGCTCGACGGTCGCAATTTAACTGCCTTAATAGACACTGGTGCTGACTACTCGATTATTAGCGGACAATTGGCACGTACCTTGAAGAAAGTGATAATGCCTTGGACAGGATCGCATGTACGTACAGCTGGCGGACATGTTGTAACGCCGGTTGGTTTGTGCACGTCCAGGCTACAAATACGAGGCTGCACGTTTTTGGTCAGCTCCATCGTGCTACGTGACTGCTCCCGCGAATTAATTCTCGGCCTCGATTTTCTTCGGGAATATGGCGCCGTAATCGACCTACGGCGACGCTGCATTTCCTTTTCGACAGTCAACGCTACGTCAAGGGACTCCAACCGCCGTACAACCGCCCTCCGTGTTTCCGACGACAGTGTCACAATACCACCTCGTGCAAGTATCCTAATTCAGGTGACTTCCGAAGGAACCAGTGACGGTGAAACAGTGGCAGAGTGCAACGTCTCCCTGCTGCTGGCGCTTGGAATTTCTGTGGCACGAGGCATCATTGACATTCGGAACGGTACAGCCGAGGTCATGATTACAAATTTCACCAATGAGCATCGTCACCTTTTCCGGGCACTGCGGTCGCCTACGCTGAAGCCTTGGAGGACGTCATTGAGTGTTTTGCCTGTGAAGACAGTAGCCGCAATGGACAAACCGTAATAGATGTTGACATGAACAGTGCACTGCCAGAAGAGAACCAGAGGGCCTTGCGAGAGCTA